TTGCGTATTCCTGAATAAGTAGTAAGCCTTTGAACTGCTTGTGGTCAATGGCTCTCCTGTGCTGTGACATCCAATGGCTTTAAAGGGGAGGAATGGGAGGGAGTAGCAGATCCAGCAGCAAAGTTAGATCATAACACCTTGGTTTTAATATAGCTGTGTTTATTTCTGTTAGTGTTTACATATCTTATGTACCTTTTCCCCATCCTTTTACTTCATCTTTGTTTTCTTATAATTAAAATGTGTTCTTTTTTTTTGTCTCTTATAAACAACAAACACAAAGCTAATTGTGACTTTTTCAATTTAGACTAAATTTTTTTTAATTTTAAATAAATTTGTTGATCTATAATAACATAAATACTAGTTTTAAGTCTAACATTTTGCCATTGGTTTTCTTTTCTTTTTCTTTTTTTTGTACCAGGTATTGAACCTAGGGACCGTTTACCACTGAGCCACATCCTCAGCCATTTTAAAAATATTTTATCTTGGGGCTTGGGATGTGGCTCAAGCGGTTGCGCTCTCACCTGGCATACGTGCAGCCCGGGTTCGATCCTCAGCACCACATACAAACAAAGATGTTGTGTCCCCCGAAAACTAAAAAATAAATATTAAAATTCTCTCTCTCAATTAAAAAAAACGTATTTTATCTAAAGACTGGGTCTTAATTGAGTTGCTTAGGGCCTTGCTCAGTTGCTGAGTCTGGCTTTGAACTTTCAATCTTCTGCCTCAGCCTCCTGAGCTGCTGGGATTACAGGCATATCCCACCATGACCAACTTGCTATTGGTTTTCTTTTTCTTTTTAAAAAATATTTTTTTTAGTTATACATGGACACAATATCTTTATTTTGTTTATTTGTTTTTATGTGGTGCTGAGGATGCAACCCAGTGCCTCACCTGTGTGAGGCAAGCACCCTGACACTGAGCCACAACCCCAGCCCTGGTTTTCTATTTTCCCTGTTTTGTTCTTAATATATCTTTTCCTGATTTATTTAAGTGTGTTACTCAAATACATGTCAGATTCAATGCATTTATTAACGAGTACTTTTGTTTTTCCCTTTAATCTTCTATTAGCCTTTTGTATTACCTCCCTGTATTATTATTATTATTAGTAGTAGTAGTAGTAGTAGTAGTAGTAGTAGTAGTAACACTAGAAATTATGATAAACAGACTTGACTTATTAGAACATTTACCTTCAATTATCATTTTTGCTTTTCAGCAGTGAAATATCCCAATACCAAATTTCACTCCACTCTTTACTCTTATTTTGTGCTATTATCACATATTTTACTTCTACATATCCGTAAGCCTTATAAGCCTATTAAGCCCTCGTACTCTTTTACACTTAACTTCAATTTATCCTTTCAGCTTCTCTCCATTACTGTTCTTCATTTTCATCAGGGATCATTTTCCCTTGAACTGAATAATGCCCTTTAAATTTCTTCTAGTATCGGTCTATGGATAAAAGACAAGATTGCTCAGATTTATATATATATATATATATATATATATATATATATATATATATATATATATATATATATTTTAGTTTTGAGGGCATTTAATTTATAAAACTATAGGTCAGCAGAGTTTTGTTTTTTTTTAATAAATACTTAAATGTCATTCCATCCGGATGTGGTGGTATGCACATGTAATCCCAGTGACTCAAAAGGCTGAAGTAGGAGGATCACAAGTTCAAGCCCAGTTTGGGCAACTTCAGGAGATCCTGTCTCAAAATTTTAAAAAACAAAATTTAAAAAGGCAAAGGCTGAGAATATATCTCAGTGGTAGAGCACCCTGGCATCAGTCCTCAGTAGAAGAAGGAGAAGGAAGAGAAGAAGAAGGAGAAAGAGGAAAAGAAGGAAGAAGAAGGAAGAGAAGGAGGAGGAGGAGGAAGAAGAAGATAGAAAGAAAACAAAAAAGAAAGTCATTCCATTATCTTCTGGCCTTCACCATTTTTTTGTGCTAAAGTCAGAAGTTTTACTATTCCTTTGATGGTAATGTGTCCATTGTCTGACTGCATTCCAATTTTCCCTTTATTTTTAGGATTCAGAAGTATGATATGAAGTGTAGGTGTAGCTTTCTTTGTATTCATCTTACTTTGGGGTTGCTGAATATCTGAAATCTATACTTGATATCATTTATGAGTTTTGAAAAATCTTCAGTCATTATTTCTCTAAATATTTCTTCTTTCCCATTCTTTCTCCTCTTGGGGATTTAGTGATATGTATGTTGGATATTTTGACTGGTTCCAAATTATTATGGTTTAGATGTGAGGTGTCCCCTAAAAACTCACATTTGGGACAATGCAAGAAGGTTTAGAGGTGAAATAATTGGCTTATGAAAGCCTTAATTCAGTCAGTGAACTAATCTCCTGCTGAGTGGTAACTGAAAGTAGGCAGAGTGTGGCAGGAGGAGGTGGGTATGGGGGGCAGACCTTTGGGAGATATATATATTCCTGGTTGATCAGAGCGCTCTCTCTCTCTCTCACCACCATACCTCTCTGCTTACTGGGTGCCATGTTCCCAGCTGCTTTCCTCTGCTACACACTTCCACCATGATGTTCTACCTCACCTGAGGCTACAAGGAATGGAGCCAGCTGTCTATGGACTGAGACCTCTGAAACCATGTGCCCTGAAATAAACTTTCCCTCCTCTAATCGTTCTTGTCGGGTCTTTTGGTCCCAGCAGTGAAAAAGCTAACTAAAACACACATTATCTCTTGTATTCTGATAATATCTCTTTTCTAGTGGTTTCGTCTCTTTGTGTTTTGATATTTTCTGTTGGTTGATGTGTGCTTTGCTATAAACTTGTTCAAGGGTTTAAAAATTGCAATCCTCTGTAAAAAAAAATCATTTTTATCTTATTTTTTTCAACTTCTCCAGCTTTTCTTCTATTTTCTTTAACATATTTATCAGCTTTTTTCAAAGCCCATCTGTGCATCTGGATCATTGATGGACCTACTTCTACTATCTGCTTTTTCTTCTGCTTCTTGCTCACATTTTCCTGAACATACTATGTTTTTTGGACATTGGTAAACCCAGCCTAATTCCCTCTTAAGATCAGGAGCCATCTTGTCAAAAATTATAAAAGATTCATTTCTGTTTTCTGTAAAATATTAGGATTTTTATTTGGCCTGGCCTTATTTTGATGTTTTAAACTTGCTTGAAATGCCTGCCCATGCCTTGAACTCACCCCTGTCTGGTTTTCCCTGACCAGATAACAACCCTCTCTGAAACCCTAATGGCACCTCATAAATTCTGATGTTGGGATCTAAATTTACTCCCGAAGTACTGAACCATTCAGACCATTAACCTACTACCTGACTTTGAATTATGCTTGTCAAAATCCTGTTATATCTATATGTTCTCAAGACACCCCCCTTTGTAACTTTTTGTGCTATAAAACTGCGCTCCACGGATTTTGGGAGGGACAGTTCTGGCTGGTTGGAATTACAAGCTTGCTTTAATTTGATTTAAAATTGGAATCTTTGGTCTTTTCTTTGTGTCATGGTTTAATAGACATCATACATAAAGAAACTGTAAAGATTGAATTTAATGTTATTTTCTACCAGAGCAAGTTCACACCTTTGTTTGGCAGACAGAATGTTGAGCTGGGTGAAAGCTGGGGTGCAATTTTACTTAAATTCAGTTCACATCTGGTTTCCAATGTCTCAAGGGTAAGAACTGCTCCTTCTTGCAGGAATTATCCCCTAACTGTCAGGAAACTGTGGGAGTTTTCACTTGCCTTTTCAACCCATACTCATCAAATGTCCCCAGGGTTAAAAAGAAATGCCACAGATCTCAGCTTATCCACAAAGGGCCTTTCCCTCTCTGAAATTTTGTTTAGATAGTCTTCTTATACTTAATGGTGTTCAATGCCTTTTAAAATAAGATTGTTTTAATTTATCCTTTTGTTCCATTTGTTATAGTGAGACTGATGACCTGCCACAACTACTATCTCCTACCCAAAAGTAAAAATCTCTTGGGTATGTTTTTAAAGAGATATGTTATTTAAATATTTTTTTTTCCTCAAACATCTAACTAACCTGGAAAATTAACAAAACTGTAAAATATACAACTACCATAACTTACACATTAATTTTAGGGAGATAGAATTCAACAAAGTAGTGACATCTTTGCAGTTTAGATACCCTTTATGACATATTAGACTTTATTCTATGCTATCTCTCTGGGAGGTAATGTACAATGGTAGAATGAACATTTAATATTTGGCAGCAGAAAGATTAGTTTTAATCTGAAGTCAAGGAAAATGTCATGAATTTTAATTTCCTGGAGTACATGTGGGAATAAATGACTTTGATGTTATTATTTTACATTTTTTAATATATTAGGATATATTTTATCCATTCATAAGACCACGCATAAGTGAGACCAACATCTGAGTATCTCCTACCCAGGCAATGGAATACTAACACTTTTGAAGCATTCCTTCATACCAGACTCCTAGCCTTTCCTAAAATGTATTCATTATCCTGAATTTTGCATTTACCATTTCCTTAATTTATCATTTTTACTATACCTGTCAGCTATTTCTAGGCAATGTTGATTTATAGGCATTTTAACTTTGTATAATTTTATCTAATACAAATTTCTCTCAATTTTTCCCCTCAAAAATCATGTTGTATTAACTAAGTTTTTGTGGGTAACTTTAGCAATAGATCTTTTATCTCCAAGTTCTGTGTTTCAGTTTTCTCCACAGAAGAGAGTTAAAACTGGATTGTTTCTAAATACTCTTCCAGAACTGAAATTCTAATTTTAATTTTTTATAAGTATAGGGATATATAGTTTGTTCTAACAACATGGTTCTATCATAATTATTATTCATTATTTATTTGAGGTCAATTGATTAGGAACACAACCCCTATAGAAATGTATCACAGAATTATTTTCAGACATATGGAAAATTTTTAAAGATTGTTTGAATATTTCAGTATGGAAGACAATAGGTTTGAAGTGGCACATGCAATGATCAGAAACAACTGAATTCACAATGCAAAAAATGCAAAGTTTATTTTCTTAAATAAAATACTATATTCATATCTATACAAATAATTATTACAACCATTAAAATGTTACATTTAACAATAAAAATTTCAAAACTTTAAACAAGAGCATGGTTCAGAATATTCACACCCTAATACAATGCATTTGTAAAAAGATGTCAAAATAAACAGGACCCATTCTTATTTACAACTGTAGGACAATCCTGATCTTATTATACATATCTGCTCTGGATTCCATTAAAAAAACAAATTGATTTCTATTAGAATTACAAACCAGGTGATTTACAGAAATAGGACAAAATGCACAGCAGACCCTGCTGGCATAATAATAGATACAAATATTACACTATTGAAGCACTAAACTTAGCTTTTATCTGATGACTGCCCTACAGTAAGCTTCTCACCCAGTGTATCTATAAATAATTTGTGAAGGAATTATGTTCTCAGATTTTTCAAACTTTTTTTTCCAAAATGAAAATATATATATATGTATAGATATTTATATAACCTGCTGAAAGTGGAAGCAAATCTTTTCTTCACAGTAACACAACTGCAGCATCTTAAGCAACACTGTCTGGTCCCTTTCTTCTTGGAAGATCAACAGTTTAACTTCCCATCAAGGTTACCACTCTAGTCAAGCCCAGTGCCTCGGTACCTCACAGATGAAAGTGATCTTAAGACTTCAGGGGTGGGAGGGCAGAGAGCTCTCAGAAAAGTGAAGAAGGGATTTAAATAGATGAAACTTTAAATTCCTATGGCATAGTATGGTGTATAGCTGTACATACAACCAAGCAAAAAAAAAAAAAATAAAGATCATCTTTTTAAAAAACATGTTACATTACAAATCAAATTACTTTCTATGTCTCATGACATCTCTAGTGAGAGATTATGTGGTCATTCAAAGTAACACCATTGTGGATATGATGCCCAACATCTTCAACTTAACTCATGTTTATGAAGCAATTGACCACCATATGCCAGAAAAAGGTTACAGTTGATAGTTTGTGCAAATCCAGAAATAAGGATGCTAAATGACCACCATATATAATCTCTGTGTTTCAAAGGAGTTTTGCTACTAACTAGTTTTTGTTTTGTTTTGTTTTAACAAGATCAACTTTGAAGATGGCTCAGAGAATGATAAGGCAACAGTGAGAATCTATTGTACTTGCTTCTAGGAGGTGTTTGATTACGCACCTTGCACCATCCTGGCTGGTCCTTTCTATCATGGAGAGGGTGATGATATATTCCAATATCTGGTCTAAGGACCAGAGGCACAGTTTTAGGTAAAATGCAGTATTAGCAGAGAGGCATTGGGAAAGAGATAGAAACTCTGCATCCAACAAGGTCCTCAATATTTATGCCAAGTATATCTGAATTGCCTCAATCTAAGTTTGGTGATGCCTACAGACTCATAGAAACACTCTCTAGGTTTCACTCTTTTAGATAAAACAACCCAGGAAGAGTGAAATGCAGAGAGTATAGTTAAGTCCAAAAAGGACCCTTTTATGTAGAACTCTGGGGAAGGAAAAATTGTAACATTCAGCCAAAAAGGCATATCGGGAAGAAACTAATTTCTGCCTTTAATTTGCATATTGGTATCATAAAATCACCACTGAGATCAACTCCACACCAGTTTATCTGGTCATTGGTTATTACTATTGCCCTTTAGATGTACACAACCATAGATGCATTACCTAAGGGAAAGGCAGCACTTATCTAGATAACAGAATTGCAATGACTTCTAGGCTCCTCAGGAAATCAACCCAAAGCTATTTCATTTTGTTATCACCTTTGCCCTTTCTTCATTCCACAGTGGGAAAAAAAAAAAAAAAAACAAGTCCACCAAACCTAGGGAAGAGCCATATGACATATTGAAATATTTTAGATCAAATTCTGAACTAATACTGTTGTTGCTACTTAAGAGAATAGGAAGAAAGAATATGGTTCCCAAAGCCAAAAATTGGGAATCACTCATTTGGAAGTATGACTCACTCCCACAAACTAATCTAATAGAACCAATAAATGTTTCAAGGCAAATGAATAGTTAGTTATCCTGCTAAGGAAATGACCAGGCTCCTTGTCCCCTATTTGATATGGAACAGATATAAAATAATAACAACATAGGTACCTATGTAGAAAAGAAAGGAGAAAGCTGAGATGATGCACATTAATAAGTCTTTCTCAAAATTTTAATATCACTTCCATTAAAATGCATGTCCACAGTTTTTGTAGTATAAGTTTTAGCCTCTCAATGAAATGACTGATGTTAGAAGGCAAGAACAAGATAAATGAACTATCTTTAAAATTTTTAAATGATTTTGTACTTTAATAACATTGAGTTTTTAAAGTTCAACATAACCTTGACTTATGACTAGAAGTTGCTGTGAAACAATATGGCCTTCCTTCCCACAGTTTAGATATGTTAAATTTTATAAATCATGATTACTATGGAATTCTCATCCTTACTTAAAAAAAAGTGCAAATTCTTGTGTCCCAAAATATCTGACAATAAACAAAATTAAATTTCCTGACGTGGCATAAAACATGACACATCCCAAAGCAACCTGTATTTTCCAAAAAATAAATACTTCCAAAATTAATTTATTTCATCTATGATTTATATATTTAACAAATGCAATGACAAGGTTTATACATGAGGAAAAATCTAAAATTTTTCACTTCATAGAACTTATTAAATGTTGAGAAGAATCAACTATTTTCTTTAACTGATTCTATGTAATCAATAATGCTAAAAGAGAAATGATTCAATGACTCTCACTTATGATTCAGACATCTGTGTATTTTCAGAAGTTGAAAAATTATTTGTGGAAATAGTTTAACTTTGTATATCATGTGAGCAAGCCAAGAATAACATTTCAATTTACAATAGCCAAAATTGACTGCATTTTCTGCCATTCCTGTACCAAAAGATTATATACTGATATCACTAAGTCCTATATAACAAATTTCCTGCTCAAAACCATGTACCTCAATTCAAATACTTAATACTGCTGGTAAGTACTCATGCTTTAAAATCAAATAAGAGTACTTTGGTGTGAACACTCAGAATTGATCCCATATATAAAATGATCTCTAACATATATATGCTTTTGTCCATAAGATAATTAAAGTTACATATAAGCTGGAGCCCAAAGATTTGCAGATAGTCAAACAACAAGCCTTTCTTAGACTCATTCAATATCAGTGTTATATTCTTGGAATAAAAGTTCTGAGGAATGAAAATGCTATTTCTGAATATAGATGAAGAGTAAAATACAATCAATGCAATAGAAATAACTGAAAGTAACAGATTTTTGAGCCCTTTGAACTGCAACGTTTAAACTGAACTCTTCATCTGGGTGTGGTGGAGAGCCCCTAGAGAAGCTACTTGCAAAGGTGGGGCAGGAAGATCTCTTGAGCCCAGTAATTTGGAACTAGCCTGGGTAACAAGACCCAATCTAGAGGTGGAAGGGAACTGAGCTTCACTATGGCCTGTTACCTTTGCTCCAGTTATATACAGAAGCCTCTAGTTCTACAGAACTCAATGGCCACTTTTATGTGGGGGCATGTGTGAGAGGGACAGGCAGAGAAGAAGGAGGAGGGGAGGAAGAGATAAATATATAGAAAACTGCCCTTCTTGAATTGGCAGATTAGCCAGGCAAGTGGCACAATCTTGTAATCCCAGGTACTTGGGAGACTAAGTAAGGATGATCACAAATTCAAAGCCAGCCTTAGCAACTCAGTGAGGCTCTAAGCAATTTAGTGAGACCCTGTCTCAAAATAAAAAATGAAAAGGACTGGGGATGTGGCTCAGTGGTCAAGCACACCATTAAATCCCCAGTACTCCCCCCTCCAAAATTGGCAGATTGAACCTTCCAAGTACTAAAAAAAAATTGAATATTAAAGCTTAAAATTCAGAGAAATAAAAAACAAGTTGTAGATCTTGCTGTGGTTTTTCTCCAAAAAGTGTAATTGCTGTGTTTATACATTTTTATTTAAGTAACTTATTCATGAAGTTCTCCTATTTTCTCCCCAAGACCATTTTGAAGGGAGGCAATACAGGTTTCTATGGTTTATGCTGTTTCTTTACTCCTGGAGACTGCTTTAGCAGGCAGCAGAAACAGATGGTAAGGTTTGGTGAGAACAGTGAAGAGGCATAAGTGACCATTTCAGTCTGCAGAAGAGGGATGCAGGAGGTAATTGCTCTGACCAGGCCACAGGAGGCTTTGTTAGGATGGAAATAAATGCTGGTCCCAGGTTTTACTTTTTTTTAACAGAGCAGACAGAACAATTTATATGCATTTTCCCCACCTCATTCCATTTTGGGCAGAATATAACAACAAAAAGTCATAGTTTAACAGGGTTTAAAAAATCAGCATATCATTTACAACTGTTTTCTTAGGGTTTTGCTCATTTGTTTTAGTTCTCAAAATTCAACGCATGTTTTAAAATTTATTATTAAATTCCTGGGTGTTTTTATTAAAAAACCTCACCTGCATCAAGTTTTTCTATACTTTAGCAGGTCTTAATTTCCTATTTTCAGATGGCAGACCTATTGTTTTCTCAAATTTATTTACTTGATAAATAAAATTGTATGAATTTATGGTGCACAACATGGTATTTTTAAGTATGTATACATTGTGGAATAGTAGGGACCAGTTTATACTTTAAAATCTGTCTGTTTTCATATATACTCTCACATACACACATGGACATATATAAAGACTGTATTTTTTTGAAGCACCATTTCACATTTACCATCAAGAGAAAATATTGAACCAATAAACCTTCTCATTATGATAATTCTGTATAAAGGATAATAATGCAATATACAATGCCTTATTTAAAATATAAATATTACTAAATGAAAATGCTGAGAGAGCTTAAAACTCTGTTCAGAAATATTTTTAAAAGTAAGACTCAAATGTATCTTTACAAATAAATGTAAATATTCTAAATGCATGACTTGCTGATCAGTCCTAATATTTAAATTAATGGAAAAGAATTTATTTCAAAGTCAAATAAATGAATGAAGAGAGAACACTAAATCAAAACTCAATTGACAAAACACCAATTGTTAATGACTCCATGAAAAACTCCACTATATAACTGCTTTTATCCTTATGGCCTGATGCAAAATACAAGTACGTGATGGAGAACAATTGTGTCCTTTACTTTTTACCTTTCTATTTTTAAGGCTAATTGTCTGGGAAGACTTTTGCTTTAAAGATCCTGGCACATTAAAGTACAATGTGGCTCCCTATTTTGAAGAACAGATAACTTATGAATAATTAGAATCAAGAAAGAAGACTCTCCCTAAGCCAAACTTTGGGATGAAGGTTTATTAGATAATTAATTTATCTGCTATCTGCTTGACTGTATGGACATTTAATTTAACATCAATTCAACACCGTTTCAGCTGAGAAATTTTTTTAGATGTTGACCATCCATCATCTGGTTATGAGCCATTGGCTTTATCAAGTTGCTTATGTTTTGAATAACAACTCAACTATTTTAAAAATTACCAGTGACGATGCTTAAAATCTCAGTCCCTTCCTACCACTCAGCACATACCAAGGTGAGGTTCCCCCAATTTTCAGTTGACTTATATTCAGGGAATATAAAATTACAAATCAAACTTGGAAATGTCAATATGCTTAAAGCTTGAAACATAAAAAACACTCCATGCACTTAAAAAAAAACATAATTTGTTTTTGACAAATTTTGCATGATCTCAGACATGGACATGGATCCCTACATTCAGAAGATAATTGAAAATTGATTATACAAACACACACAAAATTCCTCTCTTCATGTACACGTACATGTACGTGTGCATGCACACACTTTTATAATCTCACTCAAGACCTTTAATATCTTCACATTTAGTTTATCTATATTTAAACAGCTGAACTGCAATCATGACCTAAAATATGGCTTATGTTGTGGGCAGGTCTGTTCGAGGACTGCTTGGAAGAGTCAGAGGCAGAGGAGTTTGCTATTGTAAGCAAAGGAGACATTGCTGAGCCATCAGGAAGAGCTGTTGCTATTTCTGGAAACAAAGATGTCATATTAAAATTGGATAAGTGAGAGTTGGTCATGTGCATTGGTGGCATATCAGGGAGTAAAGGAAAACTTGGTTGAGCAAAGCCAACAGGTCTGGGAGGAGATAAAATTGATCCAAATCGGTTATTTAAACTTCCACTGTTAACCTTCTCTGTGCTAGGATTTGAGAACATTTGATTAGAAAAATAAGGGATTGAAATATCATTGGACAGTGTAGGATGAGCAGGAGAATATGGGGGATAGAATGAAGGTAGAGTATTTTGAGGATCTACTGGAATGAGGGCTGGAGTTCGAGTGGCACTGGGCTGCGTAACCTGTGGAATGAAAGAAGTATTAGCATTTATTGGTGGATTCATACCACCCTCAGGAATAAAAGGAAAACCAAAATTCTGTGATAGCGTATGCTGGTCAGGACCTGAATTATCATTAGGGACTTGTGGACTATCAGGCATGAAACGAACAATACTTCCTCTCTTCTCCGTAGTGGGCTGTTGACGTCCAAGAATCATACTGCCACTAGTAGAGAGAGGAAGATGGGGAAGACTTGGATCAAAGACATTACTATGCCTTTGGTTTCCAGAACGATTCCTCTCAGGTTGACGAATTTTGGAACCACTGCTATCTTGCAAGGGATGTCTTGATCTCTGGGGAACTGAAGAATTAGCTTGACGTACAGGAGGGCCTTGGTCAGCATTTCCATGAGACACAGATGGGTGTGGCAAAGCTGGCCTTGCAACCCCATGCATGTTGGTTGTGACAGGAGGGTTCATGTGGCCCTTGGTCCCATGACTGTCAGTAATCCTCATGGGGTTGGACTTCTGTACAGAAACATTGGGACTTGTGTTTCTACCTTGAATATCTCCTGAGGAAGAGGAACTTGAAAAAGGAATATTCAAGGTGTTGTTCCTTGTGTTAATTGCACCTAAAGACATGTCACAACTTTCCCTATTCTGATTATCACTCTCTCTTCTAATATGGACACTTTCATGAGCTGGAGGACAATTATATTCAATTGCAGAGGATGGACCACACTGTGTATTCCTCTGATGTTCTGGGAGTGATCTCTGGCTCCCAATGACCTGATCACCAAGATGAGGGGCAAGCAAACTCTGCATAAAACTTTGGTGACATGTATTTTCACTGTCCCTTGGTGGGATAGCATTTCCTGTTGGGATGCTCTGAACTGGTGGATATGGTAATCGCTTTTGCCGGTCGATCGGTGGTGGGCCAGTGTTTTGACTAATCCGAAAAGCCTGAGACTGCATACTCCTCAATGAAGATACAGGGTTAACTATTTCATTATTTCTTGAAGACTGTACTTCAAAATTATTCTGGGGCTGTTGACTGGCTCCACTTGGTTTAAATGTCTGACAATCAGAAAGGCGAATATCTGAGGCAACAGTATGGTCTACACGACCCTGCATATTATGAATAGCCAAGCTTTTATTTCTGGGAACATCAAGATAGCTTCTCATTTCAAGCTGATCTGAAACTCTGGAACCCTGAATTGATATACCCATTCTCTGCTCTGAATTAGAAGATGTCTTTCCAATGAGTGCCTCAGCAGAATAACTGGAAACGCGATTTCTCTCTGGCCTGTGTGGAGTACAGGTCATATCTGAAGGTCTTGTTACAATACTCGATTGGGACACCATTTGCTGCTCCAAGCCTCTTGATGTCAAAAGCCTCTGCATTGGATTATGCCCAGACACATGTTCAGAAGAAATCCCTGATCCTGGCTGTCTGCTTCCAACGTCCTGCTGCTGGTGCATAATATCTTGATTGAGGTGGTTTTGGGGATGGCTGTGATGGTTCCGGCTAGTTGAAGGGTTTTCACAGCTCTTTTCTGGCTGGGAACTTCCAAAGTGTTGCTGCATCTGTTGCTGCATCTGTTGATGGTGGGGATGGGGCTGGCCACTCTTGGGTCTGGCTTGGTCAGTTCCATGATGCTTTGGTTGTAAGGAAAGCTGAGAGGCCTGATTGCCCTGAACGAGATTCCTTTTTTTCTGCATCTGAACTTCCTGTTGCAGAGTTCTCTGTTGGTGCACATTATGGGGCTGAGAGTGAACAGCACTCTCTGCATGAGGTACGTGATGCTGCAGTTGATACAAGTGATGCCTTTCTCTTAATTGCCCTGCTTGCTGTTGCTGCTGCTGCTTGATGTACAGATGGTTACTGTGAAGGTGAGATACACCTTGAGCTGGAACATGCTGTTGCAGGGCTTGTAGATGCTGACTTGCCTGGGTTTGCTGCTGCTCGGCAACTGAAGGCTGAGAGCTACACTGAACTTCACTTTGCCTCAATGCAGGGGACACAAAGTTGTTACCAGGTGGAAATAATCGTGTAAGGCCATCTCCATGTGCTGGGTTGCTAACAGGCACAACTGAGTTTGAAGAATTGGGAGGGAGCTGACTAACCATCATTTGAGTTTGATCAGAAATGCTGTCTGGAGTTCCACTCATTAGGGACATGTTTTCAAGTCTGAGGGGGACTGGTTGACAATGCTTTTGACGTTTGGCTGAAGACAGTAAAAGGTCATCTTGGACAGTGCGCTTAGCAGAATCTTTTCGGCTTTCGTGACTTGGCTTTAAGAGGGACTCTTGAATCTGTGAATTCGGTATGGTATTATTCATAGTACTTAGCTGGTCTTGAGAATATTCTGTCATCAGAGGTGGTCCAGGAGGCTGGCTGCTGTAGGAGCTAGAGGAAACAGTCAGATTAACTGTCGCAGGAGCAGTTGTTTGCTCTGAAGGTTGGGACAGACTTGCACAGCTGACTAACGGATGGCTGATACTGCTCTGATGGATGAGATTATTCACACTTAAACTGGTGAGGCTTGGTGGCTGAGAAGTTGAAACCTGTAAGGAACCATTTGATGTTTTAATTCCTAGAGAGCAACTTGGTTTTTCAAGGGGCCTGTCCACTGTTACTTCAATTGAATCCTGAGAGTTAAGTTCATTTGGTGTTGCTTCTGTCTGTCCTGTGCCATTCTCTTTAGGGATCTGTGATTTGAAAGACTGGTCTCCTTCTAAAGATGATGCTTCAGAAGGCTTTGAAGTACCTTCCCTTATATCAGCCTGAATATCAACTCTTCCCTTCTCAATGTTGTGATGGCCAAAAATAACTGTTGCTGCAAGAGCTACTATATCAGGTTGCCCTGCAAAGGTATAGCTGTCACATGTATTAGTTGAGGTACTGCTGGTCACATCTTCTCTAGTTGTTTCGGGAAGCATGGATGCAACTGAAAAACTGCGAGTACTTCCAGAGCTGGTTGATGAGGGGGAGTCAGCTTGCCTACTGGTGAGCAAAGAACCATTAATAACTTCCTGATCAGGGAGGCAGGACTGATGCTGTGGTGGATCTCTATCATCGTTGTTCATCAGTAACAGTTCCTGCTTGGGGTGTAAATCAACAGTTGAATCAATTATCTTAGAATTTTCTGAAGAAAAGTCAGGATGATCCATAGGGTCAGAAAGAGTTGATTTCTGGGGGTCTTTTTCTTTAGCAACATCAGATAGTAATGTAGTTAACCCTTGCCCCTTTAAGAGACCTGCAGTTTGCATTGTATCAGATGACTCTTGCTCCATCCTGCAAGGTTCAGCAATGATTTCTACCTCAGAAACACAGTCAGTACTTGTAGTCCTTGTGAAGGATGACAAACCAGACACCTGAGAAACCAAAATCTGAGGATTTGAAGATGGAATCAATACATTGGCTGAAGTACAGGATTTGGTAGCATCTGATAATGCTAAGCTAGTTGGTGGTTTATCCTGAGAAGTCTCTCTTTGCAAAATGGGGGTAGAATCTTTGGATTTTGCTGGGGCTACTGCACAATGTTCACTTATTCCAGATTCTTGGGAGGATGAGCTAGACTCTTCTGCTGAGTTAGATTTGGATACAGATTCAGGTATTACTGATTCCGAATTTAGCATGTCCAAAGAATGTGAAGCAGAAACACTTCCACTATTTGCCTGGGACAGAGTGGCAGGTGGTAGCACAATAGGAAGGCTTTCCAGCAGTCCAGGAGTACATGATGGCTCTGCTGAGCTTTCCATGTTGGGGCAGTCTGACTTGCCCACCTCTCTGACTGGATTCAGAGGACATGTGGGTTTGCTAGCTGCTATATGTTTCTTGGCACCTGGCTTCTTATTTAATCTTTTTGACTTTGTGGTAGGTGGCAAACAAGCAACAGTGTTCATTGAGGAAGTAGTCACAAGATTAAAAGTACCAGGGGGTATGGCCGAATTGTCAGTTGTCATGGGAGGTGCAACAGTGGTTGTTAATGAAACACAGTTAGTTGGGGAGGTTTGACTATTTGCAGCAATTTGAGGATTGGCAGGCTGGCTAAGAGATAGTTGTACACAGCTCTGCCCAGCCATCTGTGAGATGCTTTGATTGAGGCTGGCCAAAGCACCAAATGTATTCAGGGCAACATTGGTATTTGGATCTTCGCTGGTGGTGGGTTGAATAATTTGCATAGGGGTGTGATTTGTAGTTCCTGATGAAGACATCACAGGCTGCAAAGCAAAGAGCTGTCCATTTAAAGAAATGGTTTGAGGCTGTTGTTGGTTTGACATGGTAACAGAAAAAGTCTGTGTTGAATTAGATGTTGACAAAGATGAAGGTCTTGGTAATATATGGACAAGGTGCTTTCCTCCAAAAGTTTGTGGAGTTGAAACATTTTGCACTGAATGATTAGACCCAATTATAGCACTGGCTCCATTGACAGGGAGTCGAACAGATGCAGGAGGTGGAGCAGAGAGGAGTGGCAATGGGTTCTGATTAGCTGCCTGGATAATGACTATCTGTTGACCTACTGTTTGGTTGGGAACCTCTGCCCTCACCACTGTGGGGCATGGGGTAGTGCTGGGGGGCTGAAGAATGATAACATTTTGATTAGCTGGAGTTGCATTAACAGCTGACACAACTGGCTGAGCCATCTGAATCACTTGCATTGCTGAATTCAGTGGAAGGATATTTTTTGGTGGCTGAGATTTAACTTGTGGCTGGGCAATTAGTGGCTGCATAGGTAAAGATGGACAAGAAGGCAAGGTTACAACTACTTGCTCAACTGATAACCCATCTGTTGGAAGGGAATTATTTAAGTTGATGCCTGTAGCCATGTGTCTACTGTGGTTGCTTGCAGTGGGGCTAGGACCAGACTCATTTAGTACTGGAATCACAGTGGAAGATGGTGTCTGGCTTAAGGGCTGAATAGTGTTTCCTGCCAGCTGCAAAGTAGTCCACGTTGTCTGTGTGTTTCCAGCTGAAGAAATTCGAGTAAGGCTATTAATGTTTTTCAAATCTGAAGCACTAACACTTGAAGAAGGCAAAGAACAAGAAAGAGTCCAACCACTGTCCAAAGGATTTGTAGAAAGAGTGCTTACAGGAGTAGTAGTTTTCCCTACTCCAGTGGCAGATGGTGCCACCACTGAGGTTGTACTTGTCGAGACTGTGCACTTGCTAACACTCACTGGAGAAGAATCACCTGCAGATCTAGGGAGCTGGGAACAGACTGCAGTGGTAACTGAAACAACAAAGGTGTTTTGAAAGTCACCTCTGAAGTCCTGTGTACTCAGACAGGACTTGGTTCCACGGTGCACTTTAGTGGCAGGTGCTGAGGAGTTTGGGGGGACACTTGTAACACAAGGGGCTGTCCTCTTTAATAATTTAGGGCTCTCTTGCCCATTATTAGTTTCAGAAGAATTTTGATCATTTAGACCTGTGTGCAAAGACCGATGTTGGTGAGGCTCAGACCCAACTGAAACAGCAATTAGTGAGCTTCCAGTGGCACCAAGCACACTTGATTCACTTTCAGAGGTGGAAAGCTCAAGAATATTTTGAGCAGAAATGGTAGCAGGAAGACAAAGAGGAACAGGCTGGTTGGCAGCCAGTGCAGAAACTGTGGTCTGATGCCACGGCTTGTTTTCAGAAGGGTAAACTCCAGAAATAGACACAGGAGTCACAAGATTGCAAGTCCTCTGCACCGGCACCACATTGGCGGTTTGCTTTTGTAAATTATGACTGACATTAAAAGTTATCCCCTGAACAGCTGTCCCCTGGCTGTTTCCACCAGGCTGACTCCCATTGGAATAAACAATGATATTTTTTTGAACTTGGTCACTTGGAATAACAACAGACACCTTTGAGTTTTTAAGATTTCCTTTCCAGTGGATTGTGGGGTCATCGTACAAGCATATATCATTTGCTTTCAGTAATTCAATATAGCGGCCATTTTCTTTTTGGATTTCTTCCAGTTGTTTCCGTAATTTTTTAATTTCTTCAGCTATAATTTTAAAAATAAAAATTAAAAATTACTAGTGAATGTTAGTTTTTACAATAACTTGAGAAATAACTGTATACTAAACTACTGAATTCTAATGCTAGCATTCTAGAAACCTCAACTGAGAATTCTTAGCTCTTTGCTAATACAAGTTCTTTCTTCTCTTTAGAATGGTACTCAAGCTCCTATCCCATTCTTTTAAAAGTATCTATCTTTAAAGGCCAACCACTGGAAAATAACTTATAAGGCAGAAATCTCAAAATTCTCAATTGGAAAATTTCCAATAGAGTAGCTATGCAAGTAAAGCAAAGGAAGACTTATTGATATAATGATAACATGGTAGGAAACTTACACTGAAAATGCCTATAATACCATTTAAATGCTGCAATAACTAACATGACTTGCGGTAGTACCAAATAGGTCCTTATAAATGGTTTGAGCTTTCATTTTACCCTCTGAAACAAACAATGGTGACTGAAGTGGGAACGAGAACATATCAGAAGTAGAGTGGTAGAGTATCAAAGAGAGTACCAGCAATGGAACCTGCATTTTCCTTGGTAGGGCCACGGCAGGTGCACTGCTGAGCAGTGAAGACACCTGCTATACCCCTCTCCTTTATGAGAGAGACAGCTTTACCCACAGGTCCTACGGGGGCAGCGTTGGTTGATGGTATTTATACTCTTGACTCCTTTGCCTGATACATCCCCATCTGCCTTGTCATAGTGGTAGGTATTCTTATCCTTGCCCCACAAGACTCATGTTCTAGGATGTAGCCTAAAATGAAGAGTTTTATTTCAACAAGGATGACCTGAGATTGGCAGATCATATTTGTCAGGTACTTAAACTACGAGACAAATATTAGAATCTTAAAGGATAATTGTTTGGCATAGTGGCATGTGCCTGTAATCCCAGGGACTCAAGAGCTCTGAGGCAAGAGGATCACAAATTTGAGGCCAGTTTTAGCAACGTAGTGAGACCCTATCTCAAAATTAAAAATACAGGCTGGGGTTTGTAGCTCAGTGGCAGAGCACTTGCTTAGCAAGCATGAGGCACTGGGTTTGATCCTCAGCACCACATAAAAATAATAAAAAATAAAATAAAATAAAGGCATTCTGTCCATCTACAACTACAAAAAATAAAATTAAAAAATAAAAGATTTGGGGATGTAGCTCAATAGTAGAGTGTCCCTGAGTTTAATCTCCACCAATACTGCTAAAGAAAGGGAAGCGGGAATTAAAAGATAGCTATTATGAACCAAATAATAAGAATCTTTGCTTTTACTTATTACACATTTAGTGCCTGGCACTTTTCATTCATTGTCTCACTTAATAATAACCACACCAATGATAACAGCTAATATTTACCAAGCATTTACTATGTGTGAGGCTTTAGTCTAAATGTTTTACCTCTATTCTCTCTTTTAATTCTCATAAAAACTATAAAATGAGAACTACCGATTATTATTATTACCATTTTAGATAAAAGAAATAGGTTCAGAGTAATTATCAAATTTGCCTAAAATCATCCATGTAGATACTCTGATTATCCTCATTTTAAGATACCTATAATCCCAGCTATTTGAGAAGCTGAGGTAGAAGGATCAAGTTCAAGGCCAGACTGGGTAACTTGGTAAAACCCTATCTCAAAAATAAAATAAAAGGGGCTGGGAATGTAGCTCAGGGGTAGAGTCCTTGTCTAGTATGCACAAGGCCCTGTGTTCAATCCCTAATACTGGGTGGGGGAAGGGGGAAGAATAAAAACAATAGGGAAACTGAAATTTGGGGAGATTAAATAACTGGCCAAAAGGTACTAAGTGAGAGAACAAAGGTGAGACTACAACCCAAGTGGGCCTGGCTCCAAGGCGTTGCTTTGACCACTGTGCTGGAGTATCATGTGAATGATGAGTATAAAGAAGCAGCCACCAGGGGTTGGGGTTGTAGCTCAGTGGTAGAGCAATTGCCTGGCATATGTGAGGCACTGGGCTCAATCCTCAGCACCACATAAAAATAAATAAAAAACAACTAAAAAAAAAAAAAAAAAGCAGTCACTCGGGGGGGGGGGGGGGAGGCATAAAGCAGAAGCACAAAAAGAACCAGAAAAATAATAGTGATAGAAATGATGACTCAGTCATTTCTGTGCTACCCCTAAACCCTAGCCTGGATATTTGGCTTTTCCTGAGTCCCATGCACCTGTATTTTTTCAACAGCTTCCCTTTTCCCTAAGGTAACATGAATGCCTCAGCCTCCATGCTTTGAAATGAAAGGAGCCTTCTCTAAAAGAGTCTACATATCATTCTGACTTCCTGTTCCTTTTGTGAGGTACCTCATAATGGAACACAGATTATTGTATCTAACTCTCTGGCAGCATCACACAAAACAGGCTAGACCATAAAAGACAGTTGACCTAGGAGGGGGATAAATTGTTATTTCACTAAAAGCTAACAAAGAGAATTCCAAAATCTGACATCCTGGATATACTTTCAAATATCCTTCCCATGTGTTGTAATAAACAGCCCAGCAAATTCTGCCTTGTTTCTCTCCTTTTAAGGTGGCTGACTGACCTGTCACAGAATATTCTCTGCTCTTATCAGAGCCATAAATAAAGAACAATTCAAACTGTCCTATCACCCTGAGCTTTACACTTGCCTGGGATATTATTGTTTTCGGCTTCTCTCTAAAAGTGGTAAAACTCATTGACAGCATAAAAAAAAGTCATTTCTATCTAAAAATCAAATATTATTAAATGATCAGACAGCTGGATGCATATATTACATCCACACAAACAATTATGAATGAATGTTTTGACCTTTTGAGTTAATGCAGTTAAGATTTGGCACAGGCCTATCCTATCCTGTTAGTAAGTCACACAGAGCAGAACTCCTCCCCACATCCTCTTATGGGAATCCCCTAGCTACAAGATCCAACTGGGATAAAGGAGATTTAGTATTATTAGTATCATGAGTGAGGCAAACATGAAGTCCACGGAAGAGTCTGAAATCAAAACCATGTATACACATAAGATTACAGTTGTTCCTGGAGGAGACAGCAGAGTTAAAGTGACTTTATTTGAAATATTATTCTCCTAGACCCCTTGAGTGCAAGGTCTTAATAATGCTTTTGTTTGTTGATTTGGTTTTGTTATTGGGGATTTTGGCGGGGGGTGGGGGTAGTGGGGCAGGGAACCCTTCTATATCTATATAAATTTCACTATAACACAAAGATCTAAGCATTTAACAAAAATCATAAAGTAAGACTCTCAAAGTTGTTACCTTGTTCATTGTTTCCGCCATTAAGCAGGAGTTCATCATTTTGCCTTTTCAATTCTGTTATGTATTTAAAGGCTTGGTCCAGGATCATATTCTTGCTCTGCCAAAGAAAATTAATGATTTAAAACTTCACTGAAGGGTAAAAACTTTCCAGAAGAAACTGAAATCTCTGGCTTCATCTCACATGTGTTATGTAACATTTCAAAATTTAAAGCAGGCACCATATTCAAACACTTCTACTAAATATCTATCAGGCTTTGTCTTTCTTTTCTTTTTGGTACTGGGGGTTGAACTTGGGCCTTATTAGGCACACACTCTACCAATGAACTACATCCCCAGCCCTCTATTGGACTTTTACTATGTGTCAAGCTCTGTATTTGAGGCACTGGGATACAGTAATAAAACAAAGCACCTGTCCTTGAAGAATATAAATACATATGCAAAATAATTAGGTGATGACAAGATTACACACACATACAAAATAAAAAAGCAGGGTCCCAGGGAGGGGGTTAAATTGATGGTGGAAGTTACTCTGTGCTGTTCACTGAATGTTTGTGTCTTCCCACCAAATTCATAGATTGACGTCCTAATCCCTAATGGAATGGTATCAGGAGGTGGGACCTTTGAGAGGGTATTCGGTTACTCATGAATGGGTTTAGGGACCTTATAAGAAGAGAGGGAGAGATGATTTCTCCTTTTCCTCCATGTGAGGACACAACCAAGAATCAAATATGGATTTTGGACTTCCCAGCTTCCAGAATTATGAGAAATAAATCTTTGTTGTTTAAGTCACTCAGTCCATGGTGTTTTTGTTACAGCAGGCTGAATTAAGATACTCTCTGGGAAGGCCACCCTGTTTAGTGATACTTAAGCAAAAACCTGGAAGTAAAAAGCACACTCTGTAGACATCTGGAGGAAGAGGGCCCAGGTATGAGGTCAGAAGGCAAAAGGTTCTCAGGCAGGGCTGGGCTGGGCAAGGCTACAACAGCAAGGAGGTAAGTAGAGTGAGAATCCTACACATCAGGAAGAGTGGTAGAAGAAAAGGCCAGAGAGAGCCTTTAGGACCATTTAAATATTTCAGACCTTAATGTTATTCTCTACTGTTAGCTGCAGTTATAAATGATCCAAAGTAACAGGGTGAGAAAGAAACATCACTTGATTGAGTTCTGGTGTCATATTCCTAGTATATTCCATTCCTAAGCTTTTCAAAAAGATTGTGCTTTATGTCAAAGTGCTCCTTTATTCTTAATTGATAATTTTAAAAACTGAAACATAATAGTCACTTGGCAAAAAAGTAAATATATGAAGGAATAGGCATCAAAAGTAACATTCCTTTGTGTTTTAGCTCTCCACACCCTGTTCCAGAGGTAATAACTATAAACTTACTTGTATATCCTTCCATAAATATGCTATACCAATATGTACATGTATATATATTTTTTAAAAATTTTGTACCAGGAATCAACCCAGGGGTGTTTAACCACTAAGTTACATCCCCAGATGTTTTTATTTTTTATCTTAAGACAGGGCCTTGCTAAGTTGCTTAGGACCTTGCTAAATTGTTGGGGCTGGCTTTGAACTTGTGATCTCCTGACTTAGCCTCCCAAGTTACTGGGATTATAGGCATGTGCCACCGTGCCTAGCTCAGATATATATCTTTTTTAAAAATCCAGATCAAAGAATGCTATAAACAGTACAGTGTACTTTTTAAAATTTAAAGATATATCTTCTACATATCATCATGCGGAACTTAGAAGTCTATCTTATTCTTTCTAATGGCTGTATTTATTTTACTTAGCAGTCTATTCCTGATAAACATTTAAGTTACCTAAGAGCCATTTCTGATTTCCTTCTTTGGCTACTGAACAATGTGGCAGTAAATATTTAACTATGGATTGCTTTTTTCATGTATGAATCACTGTAATTTAGTGCTTTGCTTCAACAAACTTCAATTCTGTGTTCTTCATACTAAGTCCCAGTAGAGACTCAGTAATATAAACCAAGGAAACTATTTTAGAAGAGAAAACTAATATTGTCCTTTCTTGAAATAAGAATATGAACCAAGGTAGAACCTGATAAATACCCAGGCACCTGACCCTTTACTAGAGATAGCAGGCAGAGCCGGCAGCAATGCTCAAGAAAAACTTTAGGCTACTCTTCTTCTGGGAGCCAAATACTGACTTTCTTTGCACATTCTAGGACACCAAGGAAGAGAAATGGTATGTTTTCCTTTCTTCAGAGAAACTCATGAAAGCCCAAAGCGTGAAAATATAATTTTGCTGAGCAACTTCCAATATTTAGTGAGCACACCTATTATACATTAAAATTCGGAGAAAGAAAAATCAGAAGACATAGTTTGCCATTGTGTTAAAGAAAGAATACATTTTTAGAAGACTTAAAAAACACATTTGTGGAAGTCTAAATCCACTCTGTAGGGGAGAATGAAAGGAAACTGAAGTCTACATTCTTGCCAAGGGGGATACTATTGAGCTGCAAGTTGATTTTGTCTTCTAAATTCCTAGGAAGTTTCAATACTGAGAAGCACCAGTTGCTACAGAAGGTGGGGCAAGGTACAGGGACTTGACCGAGAGGACTTGTTGAAAGGCTCTTAATAAAGCAGTAATAGGAACCACTTCCCCATGCATATATCCTATGCAGCTGGATGACTTCCCCCTTCTTGCCCCAACCACAAGAAACAAGTTTATTTTCTGTGAAATCTGAACCAGAGAATTTTAACCTCAGAGATACTTGGCACAAAAGTGGACACGATGAGGCTCCCAAGTGAAAACAGGGTAAAGTAAAATTCTCCCTACCAACGAATGACACTTTCTATCCCCACCATCCTTGACCCAAAATTCGAAATATTACCAAACAAACTCATACTCCTCTCCCACCATTTCCACTCCCAGGTAAGAGACTAACAGATTCCTTCTCAGGGGGGAAAATTAGTATTTATCCCTCAGATTTTTTTTTTTTTTTTTTTAGTTCTACCACAACCACAACAAAAAAACTACTAGTACACCATCTAATCATGCAATAGTCAGGGACACCAAATGACAAGCCTATTTATTAGATCAGCTTTTTAAATGCCTATCCTCAAGTCAGAAAAAAAAAAAAATAGCTACCTGTCACTAAGCTTTAAGAAAAGCCTCCAAAAAGAAAGATAAAACATCCAACAAAAGGGGGGAAGAAATCAGAAAACTTCAGAAAAAATCCTAGAAAACATTCAATTAGATTAGATGTTATCAAATCCACATAATTAACATATGGTATTAAACAGGAGAGTTGGAAGAGATCAATTAGTTGAGATTGAAAAAGGAAGACAGAAGGTTTCAGAAATAAACTTTCAAAGGAAGGAAATGGAAAATGGAAATTATGTGGTAAACTTGACCATCCAGAAAACTATGAAGAGCCTGTTGGAAGGATGGAAAGAATTAAAGACAAATATATAGAAATTTAAGCAAATGAAAAACTATGAGTTACATATGAAATGAAACATAATAATAATATACTCCTTGGGTCAACCACAAACAATAGTTACATATTCTTAATAATATAAAAAATATAAAAACTGAATATCAATTTTAATCAGAATTATATGGGAAAGTCAGGGAAAAAGCACAATAGAATTTTTTAAAAATATTTTTTAATTGTCAATGGACTTTTATTTTGTTTATATAAATATGTGCTGAGAACTGAACCCAGTACCTCACACATGCTAGGCAAGCGCTCTACCAATGAGCCACAACTCCAATAGGATTTTGATAGATAATATCTAAAATGGAAAAGTTAAGATATAGAAATGTAAGTATGTTATTTTGAAATATAACAGTAAGCAAGGTATGATGGCATATGTCTACAATTCCAGTGAGTTGGGAGGTTGAAGCTGGAGGACACAAACTTGAGGTCAGCCTTAGTGACTTAGCAAGATCCTGTCTCAAAATAAAAATAAGAAAGTACGGAGGGGTAGCCCAGTGGTGGAGAATCTCTGGTTTCATCTCCCAGTACTGAAAGAAAAAAAGAAAGAAAGAGAAGGAAAAGAAAGAATAGAACACAGTAGTACATTTCACAAGGAGGAACAGTTGAGAATGTTTGCTCTGAGGAGCTGTGTTCGGATTGGGATGCAGGTACGAGATTAATGTTTGTTTTAAGCTTTTTAGTGCTATTTGCTATGTGCATATATTATTCTTTGTCTAAAGAATTTAATTAAAATTAATTAACAAAAAGCTACCACTAATTATGATATCCTATTATTAAAATTAAAAGGAAAGTAGATCATAAGAGAAGAGGTATCTAAAACCAAAATTTTACTGTGTAATGAGTGAAGGTAATAAAGCAGATTGTGAAAGAACTGAAAGACAGGGAATATATCTTAGTGGTAGAATGCTTGAGTAGCAAGTGTGAGGCCCCGGGTTTGATCCCCAGCACCATTAAAAAGAAGGACAAACAAACGAACAAAAAAAAAGAAACAGTGCTGGATAGATACACATATATTCTTAGAAAGCAATGTCTGGAGAGACATGCAACAATATTTTATTAGTAATTATAACTTGGGAGTGGGATACCAATTTTTTAAAAAATATTTTTTTTGCTTTCAATATCATTTCAATTGTTTGTTTTGTTTTCAATGAGCATATTTTATCCTCATTATCAGAAGAAACTAAAAGCTATCTTCCATGAGGGAAAACTGAAAGCTGAGATTTTTAAGTACTATTGGGAATTGATAGGGCATGGAGAATAAATAAAGAGATACTTGGAAGATTCTAGGTAAGAATTTAAAAAGAGTAAAACACATGAATTGGCAGAAAACAAAAGGTTATAGACCTTATAAGCAGAGTATATAAACATAATCATGAGACTGTTATTAAAAGGATCTAGACATTGTATGGTACATTTGACCATGTAGAAAGTTGTACTGACATTGTTAGAAATGTGGGGAAAACTAATACTAGGTATATAAAAAATGAAGCAAATGAAAAATGAGGCAATTATGAACTTCAAAAGACTCCCATAAATGGCAGGTAACAAAAATAATTATTCTAAGTACTGAAAAAATTTAGGGAACTCTCTGTTCATAAGCAATGAATGAAAATATGAGTGGATTCTTACCTGCTTCAGAGCTGGGGAACATGGGATCAGCTCGCCTATTCTGTTAATCCCAGCATTAATTTTCTTCTTTCTATGCCTCTCCACTAGATTAAGGGAAAAAATCCATATGTCAAACCTTATATTACTCTGTTGAAGTGCCCAATTTTCCCTGGGCAAAGAAATTTTAGGTAAAGAAATCCATTAGAAATGTTTATCAAACATTACTACTGAAGACAAATAACCATAATAAGCAAATCAGATTTCTAACAATGCAATACTTTAGATATAATGTTATAAAATCAATATAAGCAATAAATTTACTAGCATTTTAAAAAATATCATCTATGGACTGGGGATGTAGCTCAGTGGTAGAGCACTTGCCTAGCATGCATAAGGTTCTGGGTTTGATCCCTAATATCATGCAAGAAAGAAAGAAAATCATCTATAATAATTACATTCAAATTATAAAAAATAGGAATGATTAATACTGTGTTATATTATTATAAATCATTTATTACAGTTCAAGTAACTAAGAGATTTTAATGATAACCATTAGCAACCTAAGTTATCAGAAAACTGCCTTTTTATAAAATCAGACCTTTCTACACAGGTTAAAGAACCTGAAAACACCTTTTGGGTGAACAGATGGCCCTTTTGGAATAGAAACAGCTATTAGTGGTGACTTAAAACAGAAAGCAAAAGGCACTGGCTTTTTTTTCTCTCTGGAGTATGGGCTGTCTACTCTGGTCATGCAGAATCTTTCTATCTAAAAACCAGGCAACTGACAACTTCCCAATTAACTGCAAAATATTCCAGACTTCCACACTATAACTTTAAAAGGGGCAAAGGATACAGAGATTATCTAATTTCTATAAGGCACTGTAAGTAGAAATACTACTCTTAGACATTTTATATTGGGAAGTTTTCTAAAATCTTTCCTTTCTAACAAAGGATAGCAGACTTCTAAGACATCTTTTTCAGATTATCCCCTGAGAAGAACTTGTTTTACAAAATGTGTATATTTTTTGCTTCATGATCTAGCACTAAGAATAGTCTATTTAATGATATTTAATTACCCTCTCTTATTAAGGCACAGTCAGGACATATTTATGGCACCATAAGAGAGTTGATCCTAATGAAAAAATTTAGTTCATATGGCCAAATAAGAATTCATACATCCCAGAAATCCAAAGCAATAAATTAGAGCCTACCTTTCTTCTGAATTCTCCAATAATAATATTTCTTGGTATCTAAGAGCAGATTTTTTTAAATGTGTGGAGTTAAAAAAATTAAACCCAATATTAAGACTCTTTGCCTATAGTAATATTTGGGGTTTCAAAGGCATTAATCTATTTATTATGGAAAACAATCCCACCAGTTTTTAAGACATGTTTCCATAGATAAAAATTTCTCAAAGGTCCTTTCCTTAAGGAAAGATATTATTTATAGAGTAATAGAAATCAACTTATATGTAAAAGTATTCATAATAATATATGTGTGCATTATAACATTTTTTTTTGTCTGAATGAAGTTCCTGATGGAAAATAAAGTGGCATACAATGTGCCAAACTGAAAATGTATGCACAATTCTATATATGTTTATCTAGCTTTGGTCTATACTTTTGATGTTTGAGATAAAAATCAAATATTTATTTTCTACATTTCTTTCTATAAATGAAGACTATACAACTTAAGACTGTTCACATATAAGTCCCTTTAAGACCTGTAGTCCACTGCTCATCTCTTCCTTACCCCTCTAGATAGCTGTCCCCTCTGGAATTTATTCAGACAGGCACATAACCTTCATTCTACTGAGAAGTGTATCTGGATTTCTTTGGTGGGTGAAATCCCCTCAAACACTAACTCCAGGAATATACTAATCTCTTAATTTATCCAATAGACTACAAATCAAAATATCATTATCCATGAGACCCAGAATTTTTTTTTTTTTTTTTTTTTTTTTGGTGATGTTGGTGATTGAACCCAGGGCCTTGTGCATGTGAGACAAGCACTCTACCAACTGAACTATATCCCCAGCCCAGAGAATATTTTGTCAATTAAAAACAATAAAGGTACATTTTCTTATAATACAATAAATAATGGTTCTATGCTTATAACATAAAAACTTAACAATCAACTATGCTATAATTTCATTTTAAAAACAAAAAATGCTAACAAGTAAAATTTAAATTACTGTATCTACCTGCATTGTGTGTTTCCCGGTTTTTCTTTCTGAAACAAAAAGTATAGATAAAAGGTAACATGAAGATAACTGGAAAGCACTTTTACCACTTTATATTTTGAGAACCATAAAATAAGTTTTACAAATTTGTATTTTCAGCATCAATAATAAGCCATCTGAAGAAAACTTTTCTTAATATATTATGGTATAAAAACATAACTAAAGATACCTCCATATAAATTCAGAAGGCACCATTTCTATAACTACAATTCTCTAATCTTTGATACTCAGAAGTCATGGGTTGAGAATAGAATCAATCACTGAAGACCATAACTATTTGAAACATGTAATTAAGTTGCTAGTAAAATCTCAAGTGATGTGTCTCATAGGTGACTTCTGATGTCTGCCTTGGCAACCTAGGCAAGAGTGAATGTGTGAGCGATGAGCAACAGTAGAGAGTAGCTTTTTAATTCACAGGTAGGGAAATGTGGTAGGTGACAGCACACTTAGGCACTGACAATTGACATTTGAGTCATCTTTTGCATTTACTTAGTAGGTTGTCCAAACTCTTAAATTTCTTAAAAGTCCATCTATTAAAGACATTGATTTTTCCCTGTTATACATCATTTCTCAATACATTATTATCTTTAAATAGCTATGCAGCAAAGAAAGAGAACAGTGACTTCAATACTAATAAAAGCGCAGGCCATGCAATTCTAAGCAGATATTGCCCAAAATGCTACAAATTCAGAAAAGGGGTTATACAAAAACAAAAGTCATATTATGTAGGCATATTGGCATTAATATTTCACAATGTTGCAAAAATATGTATTCAAACTGACTGTGACCTAAATGTTTTGGGATCTACAAAAATTCATACTGTATGTTGGTAAAAATGTCACTAGAAACTAAACATTTAGCATAGATTTGATATATTATTTTAACTATTGATGGTTATGATTACTTGTTACATTTTTGGTACAATAAGGAAGACAGGTAAATTTTAAACATATACCACTTTTAGTAAATCTATATTTAATCTACATGTACTTTCGGAGATTATTTTCTAGCCTGAATAATAAAAGTTCATTAAGGACTACCTACTTAGCAAAATGGGATCTAATTCTGCTTCTTAAGTCTGCACTATATTATTTTTGGTCTGTGGACATACCTATGCTGCTTTTTTGTAGGAGTTTCATGCTCTGTCATTTCTGGCATGGTGACAGTGATAGGAACCTATAAAGGGATAGAAAGATACACCAGAATGTTAGTCATTCTAAAACCTTGGAGAAATTGATCAATAATAATTTGATTTGAACATAAAAATGCTAAAAAAACTGACATTAAAGCACTGTATTAGGTATTGTGAATGGAACGAGTATAATAGTACAAAATATTATGACTAGCAGATGTAAAACATAGTGAATATCAAATGTGAAGTATAACCAGAAAGTGCTTGAGAAGACTGGAGTAGAAAAATACCATTGTGGGCTTGGAAACCAAGAAAAGCCCAAAGGAGATGTGAATTTTAACAATATCTGGAAAGACAGGTCAAACATTCTTAAGCTGGAAAAGTACATTCTTTGTTCATGAAACTGAAATGTAATACAAAATTTGCACTAGGGGCTGGGGATATAGCTCAGTTGGTAGAGTGCTTGCTTTGCATACACAAGGCCCTGGGTTCTAATCCCCAGCACCACAAAATTAAAAATAAATAAATAAATTCCACTAGAACAGTAATCCCCCTCTCTGAATACAGAAAAGAACAAAAAACAAAAAACAGAAGTGACAAGTGAACAAATGTAATATTCCTTACATGGAAGCAAGGATTTATTCATTAGCTGAACTTTAAGCTGCTAGAAGTCTCATGTTATCACTTGAGAGTCATTAAAATCTAGGCATAAAAAGCTTATTGATATTTAAAATATCAGGATACTAATAAAGAACATGTTACCATAGGGAAATATGGACATATATATAGGGAAATCCTGGAAGTAGAAACATTATTAATTATAGTTATAAAAGGTCAGCAATGCTTTTTTTTCTCTTCTCTGATTGTCAAAAACTTCATAACAAAAATTTTAATGCTTTTAAATTATAGGAACTGAACACCTTCCAAAAGAGGTCCACCAAGTTGGGGTACATGTTCTGGTTTACTGGAAGAAGTGCTAGTGTGGCTTGCCCTTTTTCCTCTGAAAGAGGAAAGAAGACAGCAAGTATGCAGTATGAAGTCAGAAAACATAAGTTTAAAATCTGGTTCTGCTATTTCCTAGCTATCAGGTCTTAGGCAAGTTGTCTAACCACTTGAAATCTCAAATATTTTGTCTATGTTATTGGGTTATTTTGAAAATGGAATGAATGCAAAGAGAGCACAACACTATGGTACCTGACAGTAATAACAATTCGATAAATGTGAGCTATGATTATTAATGAGGTATTTCAGGGTAAGCTCCAGCCACAGAAAGGAGGGGAAGGGTCCTGGGAAATAAGTAAAAAGAATGCAGGCAAGAGGCTGTCAGAAAGTACTGACTGAAGCACACCACAGAGAAATGTGTGGTTGAGACCCATTTCCAGCAATTCACTCCTATTCGCCTACTCTACCTTCTCTCTACAATTAATGGGCCTAGAACACTCATATCAGGTAACTGAATAATAATAATAATAATAATAATAATAATAATAATAATAATAATAAATTAATAAGCATGCAATCTCTGTTACCTCTTCCACCCAAGGTCTTGCAGAGTTTCTTTACTTTTGACTCCTAGCTTCCAATACCTCCCGTTTCTGATCCAAATCTATCATGTTTTGCCAGAAGATGGTCTATAGATTATGTTTTCTTCTTTCTACAAAAGAGAAAAACCAGTTGGTGTATGGTCTCTAGGTATTCAGTAGCAGCACATGGGACAAGGGCTGGCAACCAATGGCATGCAGATGTTTTTGTGACATGTGGGATATCCTGAATTCTCCCTACCACCTAGAAGTAAATGAATGCCTTTGCTCTCAAAAGTCCTTTTCTAGCCACGTGCAATGGGGCACACCTATAATACTGGTACCTTGAGAGGCTGAAGAAGGAGGATCACAAACTTGAGGCCAACCTCAGCAACTTAGTGAGACCCTAAGCAACTTAGCCAGACACTGTCTCTAAATTTAAAAAAATAAATAAATAAAGAGGGCTAGAGATTTGCCGGGCATGGTGTCTCTTGCCTGTAATCCTGTAATCTTGCCTTAAATCTATTTTTAATTTTTGAGGCTGAGGCAGGAGAATCAGGAGTTCAAAGCCAGCTTCAGCAATAGCAAGAGGCTAAGCAACTAAATGAGACCCTGTCTCTAAATAAAATACAAAATACGGCTGGGGTTGTGGCTCAGTGGTTGAGTGCCCTTGAATTCAATTCCTGGTACCCACCCATCCCCTGTCCTCCCAAAAAAGAGGGCTGGGATTTAGCTCAGTGGTAAAATGCTTCTGGGTTCAATCCCCAGTACCAAAAAAAAAAAGTCCTTTCTAATGGGTTACCCATACTCCACCCCACAAAGCTGATTGTCTGACAGTCAATATATGGCACCTGGGAGGAGATTCCCTCTACTCTTATGCAGGTGCACTGCCTGTAGTTTACCTAAAATCCTCCATGTATGTTCTTAATTCTAAAAAATTCTAAAAAATTCTAAAATTATCTTCATTTCCTATTTTTACCTTCTCACCTGTAAAAGTGACAAAACTTACCCATGGACCTTCCTTCAAGGCAATGACACTAGAAAACAGCCTTCAGACCTATCCACTGTATGTACACACTCTCTCTTTCTCAATATATACACATATATACTATATATGTGTGTATACTACACACACACACACACACACACACACACACACACACTGAGTGTGTGTTTATTTATGGCCTTTATCCCAGACTTGACAAATGAGAAGGTTTGGGAGGACCCAGAGGTTTTCATTTTCAACAAGTTCCTTGGGCAATTTTCCTTCTTCCTTTCTCCCCTGGCTGTCTCCCTTTCCATCTTTCTCTCCCTCCCAGTACAAAAAAGTCTGAGAAAATTAATTCTACTTTAGGGCAATGTTTCCCAAACATTCTGGATGATTAAGTATTACCTATAGGTAGAGTTGACCCTCTGTATCCCTGGATTTCACATCTATGGATTCATCCACCATGGATCAAAATTATTTGGGACAAAACCTTCATCAGTAATAAATATGTGCACACTTTTTTTATTATTCCCTAAACAATAAACAACTATTTACATAGCATTTACATGGCACCTGGAAGGAGTGATATTGAATATTGTAAGTAGAGATGCTTTAAAGGAGGAGCAGCTAGGGGTGCAGCTCCTCATTATAAGTTTGCCTAGCATGCACAAGGAATAACAGCCCCCAGCATATCTAAATAAACATATACACATATATCTATTTAAGTATAAATATAGATTTATTATATGTAAATATATATTTATTTTATAGATAAATACATGAGTGCTAGTTATATGAAAATCCTACAGTATTTAATGAGTGACTTGAGCATCCTCAGCTTTTAGTATCCAAGAAGGATCCTGGAACCAATCCCCCATAGATATCCAAGGACAACTGTACTTGTTTTAAAATACGAATTCTCAGCTCCTTCCAGACTCAGTGAATCCAATCTCAAAGGGAGAAGTCTAAAATTTAATAAATGCCCTAGGTGATTCCTTACAGGGAAAATTTGGAAACACAGAAATATCTTTTTTGTTTTGTTTTTTTAAACACCTTTATTAAGGTATAATGACATATAATAAATACATACAATAAATTGTACTTATTTAAGGTGTATAGATACCCAAGAAGCTATCACCACAATCAAGAAAATGAATTCCTCTATCACCTAACTAAAACTTCTTATCTATTCTCTCTGTTCTTCCCTCTATTCACAGAAAACTACTGCTCTGCTTTTCATTATTAGACTTATTTCTAGACTTTTTAACTTTTATTTTTAACTAATACATAGAAATTGTACATATTTAGGGAGTAACGTGATGTTTCAATACATTTATACATTGTATATGTTCAAATCAGGGTAAATCTATCAAACTTTTATCCTTGAAGCCAGGGGTGCTTAACTACTGAGCCATATCCCAGATCTCTTTATTTTTGAGACAGGGTCTCACTAATTTGCTTAGGGCCTCATTAAGTTGCTGAGGCTGGCCTTGAACTTGCCATCCTCCTGCCTCAGCCTGCTGCATTGCTGAGATTACAGGTATGTCCCATCATATCCAGCTTATCATTTCTTTATGATGAAGGCATTGAAAATCCTCTTTAGCTTTAAAAAAAAATAAATAGCAAATTATCATTCTCAGCTGTCACCCTACTATGCAACAGAACACCAGAATTTCTTCCTTCTAACTAACTGCATCTTAATACCCATTAATCTATTTTTCCCCATCCTACCCTTCTCTCTACTCTTTCTAACTGCTGGTAACAATTCTACTCTTGACTTCTATCAGATACATTTTTTTTTAGATTCCACCCATGAGTGAGATCATGTGGTACTTGTTTTTCTATGCCTGGCTTATTTTAATTATTTTAATAATTTCCATTTCCATCCTTGTTGCTGCAAATCCCATTGTGTATATGTACCACATTTTCTTTATCCTTTTGTCAGCTGATGAACACTTGGGTTGTCTCCATTTCTTGACTATTCTGAATAGTGCTACAAAAACATGGATGTACAGATATCTGATAGATAGACTGATTTCATTTCTTTTAGATATATACCCAGTAATGGGATTGCCAGATCATACAGTAGTTCCATATTTAATTTTTTGAGGAACCACCATACTGTTTTCTATAATGGCTATACTAATTTACATTCTACCAACACCTGGTAAAGGTTCTCTTTTCTCCAGAACTTCGAAGCAGGAATCTTTAACTGATGAAATTTTAAGCATCTGACTAATAATTTAGTTCCAGTCTTTCTCCTGCTGCACTTTTGAAAGGCTACAAGTAAAACTCACACATAAAGTGCACAACTCTTAAGTACTAAATTCAGTGAGCTTTGACAAATACACACACCTGTGTGACCCATGCCTCATGAAGATACATAACATTATCATGGGAGAATTCTTTCATGACCTTTCCTAGGCAATTCCTTCCCCTATTCTAGAAGAAACCACTGTCCTAATTATTTTCACCATAGAATTGTATGTAAATATATTAACTGAGAATTCTTTTGAGTCAAGTTTTCACTCAGTATGTTTTCAAAATTCACCCAGTAGTCTGTTCTTTCATATTGACAAGTGTAAACCTATAAATGGGTGTGAACTTATAACAGTGTGTTTATTCATTTTTTTCTGTTGATACATGGGATGTTTGCAAGTTTTGGCTATTATGGATAAAGCTGTCATAAACATTCTTAAGTCTCTTTATGGATATTGTCTTTCATTTCTCTTGGGTAAATACACAGGAGTGGAAATGCTCATCATATACCCTGCATTTTCACTCCCTGGTATTCACCCAAGACAAATGAAAGGCAATATCCACAGATATCCCACTTTCTCCAGAGTGGTAATATCATTTTACACTCTAACCCGCAATGTAGGAGACTTATGGTTGCTTCATGTTTTCACCAAAATTTGGTGTTGTCAGTCTATTAATTTAGCCAATCTGGTAGAAATATAGTACCATCTCAGTTTAGTTTGCACTTCCTGGATGATTAATGATATTGAACACTTTAATGTGCATATTAAGGCTATTTGTACATCTTTTGTTGTTCATATCTTTGCCAATTTTTAAATTGTGTTTTATACCTTTTTATTACAGATTTATTGAAAGTCTTTACATATTATATTCTTTATACATTTTGGACATCTGTCCTTTGACTGAGATATATTTTGCAAATATTATCTCCCATTATATAGTCTGCCTACTTATTCTCTTATAGTTTCTCTTGTGAGCAAAATTTCTTGATGAAAAGTAATGTCAGTTTTTTCTTTTATGATTATTCTTTTTTGCATCCTGTTCAAAGAAAAACATTTACCCAAGATTTTCATCTGTGATTGCTTCTATGTATATATTTTTAATTGTTATGTTTAGGTCAATGATCCATATTACATATGGCTTGAGATAGGGTCAAAATTCCTTTTTTCTCACATATATATTTAGTTGTTCTAATGCCTACATATTACATGATTCCATTCATACCAAAAGTCTAGAATGGAGAAAGAGACATATCAATTATGTCATAATCTAATCTAAAATTAGATTATGGTAATGGTTGCATAACTCTGTAAATATACTAAAAACTACTGAATTACGCTTTAAATGGGTAAACTTTATGTGAATTATATCTAATCAAGCTGTTAAAAAAGGAGCTCTTTAATGAAAGTCTATAGATAATCTGAAATTCTCTACTCATTTGCTCTTTCCTTCCTCATCAGTTTATATGCATCTCATTTCTTTCAGCACATAATTTCAAACTTTTATTTAGTTACCAACCATATCCAATCTCTCCATTTAAGGAAAATGAGAAGCAACCAGAGTAAGTGATGCTGGCAAGTACTTAGGAGAAAACCAAATCTAGCAGTTCAGTGGCAAACCATGTTTTCTTCCACCAACAAGCAAATTACAATAGTGAAAAAGGTTCATTTAAATTGTGTTATTTAGATACAAAAAATAAAAATCTAAGGGGCTGTGGATATGGTTCAGTGGTAGAACACTTGCCTCACATATGCAAGGCCCTGGGTTCAAACCTTTGCATTGTAAAAATATATAAATTAAATTAACAAAAATCTAATTCTTACCTTAAATTGTCAAGTTATAATTAAAATGTTTTGATTTGAAAATATTTTGTCAAAAAAGAAAAAT